ATGAGATCATCGACAGTGGGAAAGGCGGCGAGGTCAGGGAAGAGGAAGGGGAGCATGAGGCGGCTCAGTGCAGCAGTGGCAGAGGAAGAGTAGCGACTACAGCGTCGTACAAGGTCTGGGCACTCTTATACTGACTAAAGTGTGCACGCTCAGCGGTAGGCAGGTAGCGACGCACAGCAAGACGTGCAGCAGCATCGCGTGTGGCCCACTTGGAGCGAACAGTGGGGTCAGCATCAGCAGCAGGGGCAGGGATGGCGCCAGAGGTAAGGTCAAAGAGAGAAAGGTCGTCTACCCTATCGCACTGCAAGAACAGCTGCAGGTCGTCGACCCAGACCTCAAAGTCAATGGCACGACCCTCAGCGTCAAAAGCTAGGACACTAGGGGTAGCCATGTCTGCAGCCGGCGGTCTCACCAGACAGGACGGGTCGGGCAGCACAGCAGCACAGCAAACACGGCAGCTCGGCCGGCCCAGCAGCAACAGCAGCACCTCGGCACCAGCGGCTCGGCTCCTCGGGCGGCTCGGGCGGCTCGGGCGGCTGGGGCAGCTCAGGCGGTTCGGGCGGCTCGGCTCCACAGCTGCGTAGGCGGCTCGGGCCGGTGGCTCACGGCAGGGACGGGTGGTGCACGGGTGGCCGGGAGCTGGGCCGGGATGGGTAGCGCACGGGCGGCTGGGAGCGGGGCCGGGACGGGTGGCACACGGGCGGCTAGGAGCGGGGCCGGGACGGGCTACGCACGGGCGACGAGGGGCCGGGACGGGTGTGCGCGGCCGGGAGGCGTGGGGCCGGATCGGGCGGCGCACGGCGTCGAGGGGCCTGGCAGGCAGCGCGCGGACGTCTAGGGGGGGCCGAGACGGGCGGCTCGCGGGCACTAAGGGCAGCGCACGGGCAGCGTGGGGCCTGGACGGGCGGCGCGCGGGCTCGAAGGGCAGCGCGCGGGCGGCGTGGGGCCAGGACGGGCGGCGTGCGGGCTCGAAGGGCAGCGCGCGGGCGGCGTGGGGCCTGGACGGGCGGCGCGCGGGTGTCTAGGAGCCGGGACGAGCGGCGCGCGAGCGTCTCAGGGCGGCGGGCGGGCGTCTAGGGGCCAGGACGGGCGGCGCGTGGGCGTCTAAGGGCGGCACGCGGGCGTCTAGGGGCCGTTAGGGCAGATCGAAAAAGTAAGAGAAAGGGCCCGGAGCGCGCTCTGGGCAGAAAAAAAAGTTCGATGTGGTGGGCCCTAAGCACAGTTCCCACGGGGGAACCTGCTCGATACCATGAGAAAGTTAGAACGAGGAATGGAATGACTATGAACGAAGTGAGTACAAATAGGAAACCCTAATTGGGTTGTACCCCCTATGGGATACCCCACTATAGCCTACACAAATAAGAAAGCTATAATGTTCTGACCACATCGCCATCGGAGCCGTACTGCTACAGGACTTCGGCAACGGCCTCCAACCCATCGCTTACGAATCACGCAAACTGCATCCGCTTGAGCGAAATTACCCGATACACGACCGCGAAATGCTCGCGATCGTGCACGCATTCAAAGTGTGGCGCTGCTACTTGACCGGCGCAGACGTGACAGTACGGACAGACCACCGATCCCTACAGTACCTCCGTGCACAACCCCATCTCAACCCACGACAGATTCGATGGCTCGATTTCCTCGAGTCAAATTTTCACTACACAGTCACCTATAAAAAAGGAGCCTCGAATATCGCCGACGCACTGACCCGCCCCACTGCCCAGATCCATGCGATACTACTCGCCCAGACCAGTCCGCTACTGACAGGACTATTTACCCACGGATATCAAACAGACCCATTCTTCATAGGAGGAAACTCGCAGCAATTCGCAGCAGCCAAGGGAGTCTATTACGTAAAAGCTGGAACCGACCGCATCTGGGTATCAGGGTACACACTACTACGGGAATTACTGTTACAGGAGGCACACGACGGAGTTACCTCGGGACATTTTGGAGTAGAAAAAACACGGCAGCAGCTGCAGCGGTATTATTACTGGCCCGAAATGTTGACCGACGTGCAACGACACGTGGCGTCGTGTCCCACTTGCCAGATCATGAAGTCAACCAGGAAGCGGCCGGCGGGACAATTGCAGCCGATCCCACCCCCAGAGCGTGCTTGGCAGCAAGTGACGATGGACTTCGTCACGGGGTTACCGGCCGGGGCGAGTGGGAATGACGCGATCTTGGTCGTCGTCGATCGACTGACGAAAATGGCACACTTCGCAGCCTGCAAGAAATCAATCACAGCCGAGGAAACAGCCCGCCTCTTCATCTCGACCGTCGTTCGACTGCATGGGATACCAGCATCGATCATCAGCGACAGAGACACGAAGTTTACCAGCAACTTCTGGCGGAACTTGTGGCAGTAGTTCGGCACGCGACTACTGTTCAGTTCATCATATCACCCCGAAACCGACAGACAGACAGACAGAACAGACAAACCAGACCATGGAACAGCTCATTAGGGCCACGTGCGACGACCCAAACACGTGGGAACAGCAGCTACCACTCATCGAATTCGCATACAACAACACGCCATCCGCCACGACCCAACAGTCACCGTTTTACCTGAATTACGGACAAGACCCCACAGTACCCATGATCCCAAATCCCGACAACCCCGTCCCACGTGCACAACATGTCAGAAGTATGAAACAGGAAATGAAGAAAGAGAGGGTTCACTAGCAAGCAGTTGGATACAAATAGCAAACCCTAACTGGGTTGTACTCGCTATGGAGCACCCCACTGCAGGCTAGATAACATAACATTCTGACACACCCCCATAGCCAAAGTGGGGTGTAATCAGTACAGTAAGCAAAGCAGAACAAGCTCAGGGTGGATCACAATGTCACCACACATTCTTAGCACAATTACAAGAAGCAACAGTTTAAAGTTCACAATTATGAGCAAAGCTAGTGGTAGTCACAGCGGGCAAGTGAGGAGGAGGAGGGACTGTGAGAGGAGAGAAGATGGGAGACGACGGCTGAAGCTGCAGACACACGGGCAACAGGAGCGGCTGGCACAGTGGCTACCGGGACAAGCGCCCTGGACTACTGGAGTAACTGGCTCACGGGCTACAACGAGCTACAGGAGCAACGGACCCTCGGGCGACAGGCGCAGCAGGCTCTCTGGGCTACCAGGACAAGCGCCCCGGACTACAGGTGCTGCGGACGACAAGACTGCTGCCTCCACTCAACCTCCCCCAGCTGCCCAACGCCCCTCTCACACACCCACTGCTACACCCCCAAGCTCCACTCCCACGCACCCCCCTTAAACCCTAAACCCCAGTCTCCCACACATCCACCCCCCTCATCGACAGCTGCAGCAGTGGGAGACGAAGGAGGAGGAGGAGCAAAGGGAGGAGGGCACAACTGCCACCCCCATACCCGCCACCCTCTACTCGCCCCTGGCGACGCCCGTACGGGTCGCGCGCGGGCCTGGCGCGGCCCGTACGGGTGGTGCGCGGGCCTGGCGCAGCCCGTGCGGGCCGCAGACGGGTCGGGCGCGGCCCGTACGTGCCGCGCGCAGGCCACGACGGGCGACGGGGGGCGACGAACGGGTCCCCGTCGCCCGTCGCGGCGCCGCCCAAGGGCGACGCGCCGGTCGACGGGGCAGAAGCCCGCCGCGCGCCTCGGGGCGCACAGCGGGCAGAGAACCGCCGCGCGCCTCGGGGCGCACGGCGGGAAGAAAAATGCCGCACGCCCCGGGGCGTGCGGCTCTGAGGGTAGTTGCAGTAGTAGCAGCGGAAGCGAGAAGGTGGTAAGCCCACCCACAGGATCGATCCAAGGGGATTGACCTGCTCTGATAGCATGTCAGAAGTATGAAACTGGAAATGAAGAAAAAGAGGGTTCACTAGCAAGCAGTTGGATACAAATAGCAAACCCTAACTGGGTTGTACTCGCCATGGAGCACCCCACTGCAGGCTAGATAACATAACATTCTGACACAACAATTCGCCGAGATTTTGCAAGCAGCACGCACCAGGGCAGCAGAAGCAATCAAGAAATCGAACATCATCGCTAAACGCAACGCCGACCGCCACCGCAGACCTGTCACTTATCAACCCGACGACCTCGTTTTACTCGACACTCAAAACCTCCGCCTGCCCGTCACTCCAAAGCTCCGCCCCCGATATTGTGGGCCATTACGAATTAGCCACATGATTACACCCGTCACCGCACACCTCCTCCTCCCTGCTGACTGGTACGTCAGCCCCTCGTTCCACGTCAGCTTGCTTCGCCCCTACGTACCGTCCGCCGGCCAACTCCCACGACATCGACCATCCAGCATGACACGACCACCATCCGAACCAATCATCACCCCCGACAAAATCCTGAGTCACAGAGTTCGCGACCCCCGAGGAGCTCGAAAGATCGAGTTCCTAATCCGCTGGAAAGACCAAATACCTACCGAGGACAACTGGGTTCCCCTGGACAAAATTGAAAACCACCCCGTCCTCACCGAGTATCTGCGCAGCCGAAACTTCAAAGACGTCCACGCACTTTCGTAAGAGGGACCTCCTTAGGCGAGGGGGTAGTGTAAGGAAAATCCCATTTCCTTACTTCGCATCCCTGCTCAACGCGTACATCACTGTAGCACCTCAGTCAGCACCGTTACCACTCGCGATCATCACATCGACAATCATCCCGCCATTTTCGCACATCGCATCCCGACCTCACGGCTCGGCGGGTAACCCGCGCTCCGGGCCTACGCTTCGACATTTTCCCAACCTCAGTCCCACGCTCGTCGCGCGACAACCACAGTCCATTACCGTTACCACTGTAGCTTCGCTATATATTTTTCGCTCATGCCTTCGCTCATTGCATTCTTGCTTCGATAGTGCAATTCTCGTTCACTCACTCAATTGCACTCGTAACACTACCTAACAAACATGTGTAGGACCAATCGCAAGAGATGCGGGCAAAAAACCTCTAATAATGCCAGGTTTATTCCATATTTGAGTGCAAGACGCATTTATTTGACACTGGATCCTATCTTTATTGAGGGAGCAGCCTCATTACAATATTGTAGATGAACTGGGACCACGTATCCTCTGGTCCAGGTGAGCAATAGTGAAGGCAATCCAGCCGTGTGCCTCCCACGTCCCCCCTGTGCCCATCTGGTCTTAGGGCAGTCATAGGGTCCACATCCATGTACACTCCCCCGTTCTCCTCCACTATTGATTTCACCAGCTCGTTTTGAAGCTTGAAGTTGCCCCATTTGTAGGGCAGCTGTTCTGGGTCCTGCCTCTCCTTTATAGGTCGAGTGTGCTCCAAGCAGTTGAGATGGCCTGGAGCAGTGGTCCTGTATATCACGAGCTTGTTAGGGTGATTGTAACGAATGAAGCGCATCATCCGGGTTACTGACTCCACCACGTTCTCGTTCACCTTATAGTGTGCTCCACGGTTGATGACCAGCACATGGGAATTGCGTATACCAGGAACCTCCATCCACGGGGTGCTAATCCATCTTATCCGCTCCAGCTTTTCCTCATTCACAGGAATTAGTCTCCTGTTTGCCACATAGTGTACACTCAAACCTGGGCACCCAGCTCCCTCAAACGAGTACTCCATACAAGTCAGGTCCACCTTCGATCCGAGAATTGTTGTCCACGTCATGCACTTGCGCCTCGTGATAACGTTCGCGGGCTTCGGGATGTGCTTGACGATGTTGTTCACGAAATTCACATGAGATTCCCGAGACAGGGAATCCCCGAGAAACGCAATCCGCAGCCCGCCTTTTCTCCGCCGCGCCAGCTCACACAAACCTCGACCGTCAAACCTAGAAAATAGTTCTCCCAGGTTCAGCACCTCGGAACTAGGCACGGCCAGCTGCGCTGCTCCGAAACCAGTAACCTTCGGACACTTGTTCGCTGGGACCACCCACTCGTACTTGAGTGTATCTCGAACCTTCCAAACAGCTGCAGCTGCTGGTCCGCGTGCCGCGACCTTATCCGCTTTCGTCGACGCGATTCCGCCAGCGGCTTCCCATTCCGCGTCGCACTTCTCGACTCCGTGATCCGGCCACGCCAGCACCCGCGGAGTAGCGTTGAAGCGCCACTCCCCCCTCTCCGCCACACACTCCGCCCACTGCCGAAATCCCGCCACCTGGCCCACCCCCTTCCGCAACCTCGACCCCGGGATGAAATCGCGGAAATCCCCTAATCTGCTGACGTCATCAGGAGGGAAGGTCACAGGTGGTAACCCTGTGGCTTCGCGCAGCACAGGGTTCTTCCGCAGCGACGCGGTTACCGTCGCGTAGACCTCATCCACGTGGCACATCTCACTTTCATCCATGTGGTTCCTCTCAGGATCGCACACGGACAGCAGGTGATGCACACCCACGCGCTCGGAAAGCCTGTAGTGCCACGTGGCAGTGCTCTGCTGGCTGGACAACTTCCCGCCGGATTTCCCATCTCGCTGCAAATCCTCAACCTTGCTCTTGCTAGACTCCAAAGTGCCGTTCACAACGTAAGGTAAGATCTCGATAGCCGTGGAGTTAAACGGCATGAAGATGAGATTCGAGAGCGCAGGCGACGTGGGTCCCACCAGCAGAATCGTTCGCGAAAACAACTCCTTGGCTTTCCTTAGCGGCAGATGCTCCTCGTACACCACCACGCGCTCCTCCGAGTACAATTCGCGCAGCATCCCCGCAATCGCCTCCATCGCCTCCTCCGTGTGCCGCGTCGCCGCCGTCCGCAAGTTCCCGTCGCCCACGCCCCCGCCGCCGCGATCCATCACGTGCGCGCTCCACACCAGCGACACCACCACCACCCAATCCTCCGGCAGCGTCCGCCCTACCGCGAGGTGGTGCAGCGGGTGCAGGGCCGGCGGAGCGGATTGCGGGGGAGAGGTGGCTTGCAAGGATGCGGTGAGGCGGGGGGTCCAGGCGGGGGAGAGGATGGGGAGGCCGTCGGGGGGCAGCAGGTGGTGGCCGCGGAGAGCCAGCCAGAGGGCGTCGGGGGCGCGCGGGCGGCCGGAGGAGGAGAGGCCGCACACGCTGCTGGCATGGACGGGCTGGATGGGGGGAGAATGGGGGAGGATGGGAGAGGATGGGGGAGGATGGGGGAGGATGGGGGAGAAGAGGGGGAAGAAGGAAAGGAGGGGATGGGGAACGAAAGGGGGCAACGGGAGAGGGTGAGTGGAAAGGGGGTCCAGATGGGAACCAAATGGTACGTGAAAATGAGGTATCCGCACACACACAAATGCACAGAAGGTGAACAGCAGATGACATGCGTACCATGAAGAGTGTCTTTGCGTAGAAGAGGTGGCGATGGCCCTCGCGGTGCTGCCTGCTGGCCGGTAGGTGGTGCACTGACAGCGACGCCAAGTCCACCCCGAACATGCTGCGACCCAGATGCTCCAGAAGCTGAATGTGGTAGCAACAGGGGAGGATGGAAAAGAGGGGGGGAGGGGGGGCGGGTGGGGGAAGGAGGAGGGGACAAGGGAAAGAGGAACGGGAGAAAGGAGAAGAAGTGGTTGTTTGGAGCAAGTCAGCCATTCTTCCGGTACCTGTATGTGACGACAACAACTTCATTGCTTAGTCTTTGAAGAAGCTGGTCACTAGGTGTTGCCGGGACTCACGTGTTCGCTCCGCAGCAGCAGGGGGTACTGCCTTGCGGCGGGCATGAGCGCAGTCGCGACCATGTACAGCGCGGGGAGCAGTCGCGCCAGCAGCCGCTCCTTGCCGTTGTGCAGCCGGGCCTGCGCCACCCAGTCCGTCCCCCGCAGCCCCCGCTCCGCCATCTCCGCCTCCTCGGCCTCTTCCGCCTGCTGCTCCGCCTCCTCCTGCTCGTACGGCAGGAGATTCACCAGGTGCTCGTGCACGCTCACGCGTGTCCCCGGCGCAAAGGAAATCGAATCTTTCAGCGCCTTCACTGCGCCGCCCTGCCGGTTCCACTGGCCCCGCCCGCACGCGTCCACAGAAAACACGTGGCTCTCGTTAAAAACAGTCCCCTTGGAGTTCACAAACACGTCATCGAAGCGCAGCACTCCGCCTCCCCCCAGCGCGCCTACTTCCCCCACCTCGTCCGCCTCGTTCGCCTCCAGCCGCGACCGTTGCTCCCCGCGCCTCTGCCCCAGCGCCGCGCGCACGCGCTCCATAAGCTCCGCCGCGCCCACGAGCTCGGGCAACTCTTCCTCGTTATTGTCATCATCGTTAGAGTCATCGCCGTCCACTTGAAGCTCGTCCTCCTCGTCCACGCAAACCTCTCCGCCCGTGACGAGCGGTCGCGGCCAGATCCAGCGCCGATCGCGGCACTCGTTCTCAACCGCGCGGCCTCTCTTGTCTTCAAGGAAATCAATCATAAACAGCCGCAGAGCGACGGACGGGGAGGAGGCACTTGGGGGAAAGGCGGAATCCGGTCTGCGCCACTTGCACGCAGAGATGCGCGAAAGCGCGCCCCTCCAGGGTTGGAACTGCGGGCACGGCGCGTAACCATCTGCTTCCGCGGAAGACTGTTTAGCCACGGCAGCGGCGGCGGGTTGAGCCTGCGCCGCGCCGCGCGGGCGGACGAGGAGCATTTCGCTGAGCGACGCGACGCTCATCGCGGCGCCGTTGAGCGGAATGCGGAGCTCGGTTGGCGCCTCCGTGCGCTCCCGCTGCGCCGGCTGTGCCGTTCCGCCGCCTCTGCGCGGGGCTTGCGGCCGTTGAGCGGCGCGGAGAGTTGCGGCGGCGTTCAGCTCCGCCTGCGAGAACTGGATTCGCCGAAACTTCGTTTCGGTATTAGAGTTCGGAACGGCGGCGGCGTCTGCTACGTTTAGGCCCAATCTGAAGGAGTCTAGGGTTGCTACGAGTGAAGAGAGGAGGAGAGAGAGAACGAACAACGAAAATCTTTGTCGACATTTTCTAACAACGTGGTCTGCCATATCTTGCATGGAAAGGTTTTCAACGTGTAGCCTCCAGCACGGGAAGGAGATATTTAGCAGAACTGAGATGAAATGTATTAACAGTCCTATCTGAGTTTCGATGCAGAGGCTTATGCACCTGTACTCCGGAAACCTTAGGAAGGAGACGTTTCGGAAAACTAGGAGCCTGAATGATCCGAACTGGATGTCAGCAAGTCGCTCCCTGAATCCCTGCTACGCTGAATTCTAGGGAATGGAGAAATCAGCACTGATATGTGGCTGGCTGCAAAAATGGCCGTGTGGCCCGCCTAATGTGTGCGGCGGCTGATAGGCGTCACATGGGACGCGCCGCGTGTATGGCTGGGTTGGGTTGCAGGGAGGGGAGGTACATGCGGAGGAGCATGTTGAAGCAAAGAATACCTGGAGGCGTCGCGCTGACCTTGAATTTTTTGCGATATATTCGGTCGTCTGCGAACTCTGGCGTCTGGACGAAATAAACTAGTTTTCCTCGGATTCATTTCGTGAGGCGATGCTGGCTTGCAATCGTGTCATACGGGTAACTTACTGCTTCGGGAACGTGAGGTTTGTCCTCCCACCCACTGTTGGCGGGGCCCTGGACAGGTTGCAGGAACTGCCCACACTCGCGAATGTAGCTGGCGAAACAAGCGTTCGCTACATCGGGATTGTTGGCGAACAGTCCCACAAGATGGAGCACTCCCGTCAGGTGGGCTGGTGACCACTGGTCCCGCGAGCCACACTCACCAACCATTGCCCACACTCTACACCAGCTAGCGGGAGATGTCAGGTGGGGGAGACGGACAGGTTCCTGAAGCTCACAAATCATTTAGGGCGTGTAAAGTCGCGCACCATTTGAGAAATTTGCAAATGGCTGGAAATCCGACGACTTTTTGGTCTTTATTTCTTTCGCGAACAACGACAGCTTGGTCGACCTTTGGTCGCCCACCAAAACGGCCTGTACTTGCCATTTTGCAGACTTGACAAGTTTGCAGGCCTATTTGAGGGCCGCATGAACAAACATGTCAAATTTGCACCCTCGCACAAACCAGCCACTTTGCGACCCAGTCGCACATGGACTCCAGTAGTGGCACAACCACTCGTTCTATCGCAGGGCGCTTTGTGCGACGATGGGCACATCTGTCGCACTGACTAGTCGGCTTCGTGGCCGTTTGCGAGTCGACTCGGCGTCGTTGTCGTGTCGATTCGCTGAAACGACCATAAAATATTTCGCGATTTCGCGAAATTAACGAGCTTCGCACAAAACACGGCGAGTGTCGTAAAAGGGTTACTTTCGCCAACAACGGCCCGACGGATTTTCCCAAAATTTGTTGTGGCACGACTTTACACGCCCTTACGGTACCTGTCCGTAATTGGGTTGGCAAATGGCTGGAAATCCATTTGAGAAGTTTCTGTTCCGAATCTCTGTTACTTACCAGAGAAGATTTTTGGGTTGCTTAGCAACCCTTTATATTTGGTTTCACATTTTTGGGATATCATTCAAAGAGTGTTATTTACGCACTTTTTGGAGCACTCATTTGAATGTTTTGAAACTGTGTTCAAACGGATGTCTCAAACAGTGGATAAAAAACACTCTTGAATGAGATCCCCAAAACAAGTAAGCACATACGTATCATGTTGAAACCAAGAACTTGCTCGACCGTCACAACCTCGTCGATAAATACGGCGGATTGTAAGGCCGAGCATAATATTATGGCATCGACATGAACGAATGCAATTGTACAAATGAACAACAAGGTATGACGTGGAGTGAATGTTTCAAAATGAATGTTAAAATGCATCATGCAGCAACCAAGGTTGATGGGGTCGTTGAAACAGCGAAAACACGCTGCCCCAAAGACGACTAACAACTTCTTATTGCATGCATAACGCATATTAACACCACACTGTCAGAACATTGTAGCTTATACATATTGTGTAGGCTATAGTGGGGTATCCCATAGGGGGTACAACCCAATCAGGGTTAGTACTTGTACCCACTTCTTTCATAGTTCATTCATTCTCGTTTCTTCTCATGGTATCGAGCAGGTTCCCTAACGGGAACGATTCCTAGGGCCCACCACTACGTACTTTTTTTTTCCTACCCAAAACGCGCTCCACTCAGGCCCGAGTCGCTGTCAACGGAAGTTGGGTATTGGCCCCATCCTCGCTTGGACAGAGCCGACTTCGTGGTCGGGTGTGAGGGGAGCAGCCGACCTGCAGCAGTGGGTGAGCTGGTCGACGAGGAGGTCGACCTGCACGGGGGACCACTGCACGGGCGCCGACTTCAGGGTGGCGCCGACTTCAGGGAGGTCGACTTGGGAGTCGACCTGCGGAGGACGTCAACTTGGTGACGTCAACTTGGGGAAGCCGACTTCGGCGGTCGGCTAACGAACCGCTGGTCGACCTGTTAGTGGTCGACTGGACCTGGTGGTCGACGAAGGAGGGGCCGACGTCGATCTCGACTCAGGACGCCGAGCAGTTGGGCGTCGAGTAGCGGGGCGTCAACTTCGTGACGCCAGCTTCGGGTGGCCGACGTGGGTGGTCGGCCGACGACTGTGCTGGTCGACGAGGAGCAGGTCGACCAGGAGTGCTGGTCGACGTGGAGCTGGTCGACCAGAGGGGACGTCGACATGGAGGAGGTCGACCGATGGTGTCGTCGACCTGGTGAGGTCGACGTGGAGGTGGTCGTCGACTTGGGAGGTCGACGGGCACGTAGGGGAGCTGCTGGTCAACCAGGTTACCTGGGTGACGAAGTGCTGCGGAGGAGTGCGGCGGTCGCCCAGGCGAAGTTGGCGAGCCTGACCTTGGTAGTGGTATCCTGAGGTCGACGTGGCTGGTGGGCACAATCGCTGGCGAGGAGTCTGCCAGGCGTCTGCGTTGTGCACGTGACAGGGAAGTGCGCACCAACCAGCTGGACGCACCTGCGAAGCAGGTGCACCGTTGCCCTGTGGGTGCAGCGCTGTGCAGCCGACTCGCTGCAGCGCTGGCACACCGTGGACTTGCAACGTTGGCAAACCGCTACTCTGCAACGCTGGAGCGGTGCGAGCGCTGCTGCGCTGGAGCGCGGTCGTCGACCATGCTGCGCTGGAGGTCGACCAGCAGCCTGGCTAGCACTGATGTAGTTTGTGATGCCAATGTTGTTGCTATCATTGTTGTCATGTTTTCCTAGTGAAACTCTTGCAAATTCTCCCCGTGAACTAGCAAGGAGCGTGAGCACAAGGAAACGACTAAGTGAACGAACGCAGAGATCACACGAGCACACGTGCCTAGCCCGTAGCCTAGCTCCCGTTGCTGCAGTTATCTCCGCAGTCGCGCCCCATGGCCCTCCTTACCGTCGCGCTCTAGCTAGGCCCCTCACGGCACCGTCGCGTCGCCCTCAGCGGCCCCTCGCGGCCTCGACGCGCTGCCCTAGCGGTCGCGTCGCGCCGCCCTAACGGCCGCGTCGCGCCGCCCTAGCCGCCCTCGCGGCCCCGATCCGCCGCCCTTGCGGCTCCGATCCGCCGCCCTGCAGCCTCGTCGCCTCCCCCGCGGCCATCGCGCCGCCCTTTCCCGGCCCCGATCCGCCGCCCTGCGGCCTCGTCGCCTACCCCGCGGCCCTCGCGCCGCCCTGCGGCCCTGACGCCGCCCACACCTAAGGCCTCGGCGCCTACCTACTGGCCCCGACGCCTACCTACGGCCCCGCCACCTACCTTCGGCCCCGACGCCTACCTGTACGGCCCCGGCACCTACCTGCTGGCCCCGCCACCTATCTGTGCGGCCTCGGCGCCTACCAACGGCCCCACCACCTACCTGCGGCCCCACCACCTACTTGCGACCCCGCCACCTCTTCCGGCCTCAGCGCCGTCCCCACGCGGCCCCACCGTCCCCACGCGGCCCCGCCACCTACCAGCGGCCCCGCCACCTGCCTGTACGGCGCCGTCGCCTGCTGCAGCGCCGGCCGCCACCCGAGCCGCCCGAGCCGCCTCACTCAGCCGAGCAGCCGCCCACCGAGCCGCCCAGCAGTAGAGCCGTCGAGCCGCCCAGCAGCCGTGCAGCCGAGCCGCGGACTGCTGAGCCGCCCAGCAGCCGCGCAACCGAGCCGCCGGACCGCCGAGCAGCCCAGCAGCCGAGCAGCCGCGCCGCCCAGCCGCCGAGTCGCCCACCGCCGAGCCGCCCAGCTGTCGAGCCGCCGAGTCGCCCTGCAGCCGAGCCGCCCGAGCCGCCCTGTCCGGTAAGAGCAGCACCTCTGTCACTGCACTGCCCTCACCCTACTGTTCGCACTGCTAGTCTACTGCTGTAATGGCTACCCCCAGTGTCCTCACTTTTGACGCTGAGGGTCGGGCCATTGACTTCGACGTCTGGATAGATGACCTGCAGCTTTTCTTACAGTGCGATAGGGCAGACGGGCTCTCTCTCTTTGACCTCACATCGGGTGCCTCTCCTGCCCCTGCTGCTGATGCTGACGCCACTGTTCGCTCACAGGGGGCCACGCGCGATGCTGCTGCACGTCTTGCTGTGCGTCGCCACCTCCCTACCTCTCAGCGTGCGCACTTTAGCCAGTACAAGAGTGCTCAGACCTTGTACGACGCTGTAGTTGCACGCTACTCCTCCCCTGCCACTGCTGCACTGAGCCGCCTCATGCTACCGTACCTCTTTCCTGACCTTGCTGCCTTTCCCAC